TTATTCATATGGGGAAATCTACCTGTATTGGAATAAAAGGGTATACGTACGTGATCCAGTGTTGAAGGGGCCGACAAATATAGGGATGCTACTCTACTTCTTAACTATTGTGATTTTAGTAGAGATAGAACAGGGACACTTCAGGACTTTAAGAAACACAAACCAGCTGGAACATTGCACATTTTAATTCCTGCCCACTGCTAAAGCAAGCAGCATCCATGTGTCTCCCATACTGAGGCCTCTCCTGGGCCTGTATATGGCTGTGTTCATCTGTCCAGGCAATCCTGAGCCCCAATCTGACGTGATCACGGGGATGGAAAGGGAAGTGTTGCCCGGCTTGAGTCAAGCCACTGCAAGTAGGATCCCTTTCCCAAAGAGGTAGAGGTCCCCCCATCCCTTCTCTTGCTTCACACAGCCCATGGGACTGTCCAATCAATCCTCTTTTATCCTACTTGGGTCAGTGGGGCAAACTCTATTATTCTGTGGAAATAGAAAACGCAAAGAAGCGTAATTTCTAAAACAAAGGGGAATCTTCGCTGCTGCCACACATTTTTCTTCCTCGTACTGTTCTCCTATTTCAGATTATAGTCTCACTTCATGTTGTTTTAATGAATGAATCTCTTCGCACCACTTATTTATTATGACTAGGTCTACAGGCAGAAAAGCGAGGCAAAAAGTCATCTCGTTTTCCTGCCTAAAAGGGAACACCAACTCTTAATAGACAAGGGAAGGCTATAGGGTTGAACCACAGGTTTTTATGATGACCAGTTAGAGCGCATCATTTTCCAAACGGGACAAACCTTGTCAAGACGGAAGCAACAGACAGCTTGGGGTCCCAGGAACACTCCCAAACTGACTGCCCCCTCTGGAAGCTACAGGGGCTGTTCCACCTGCTTCTGCATCCTGGGCATACTCAAGCTTAGACTCCGTCTCACAGCCGCAGGCCTCGCCCCGAGGTTAAGGTGGAAGGAGGGAAGCTGTCCTGTGCACACAGGGGAGGCTCATGGAGTTTTCCAGGAAGATATGACATAATTTTCCAGGGTTCTTTGCAGCACCAAGGCTCTGAGGAATCTTTCTATGGCTATGCCCTCTAGGAAGAACGTTTCCCAACCTGAATGGTTATTATTATGAACGTCTTAATTTCTTTTCTGGGTCAATGTATACTTTTTTTTTTTTT